TAAGCACCTTATATACCATTTCATTGTTAATACTTCCATTTTATACATGACAAACTAAGATCAGTGTTTCAAGTAAGCAACTGATTTGAGATTCACACGAGGGTATCTGGGTACACTGGTGCCTTGCTGATCACTACTCTATACTACCTCTTACTCCAGTTGATCTGAATAAACAATGAAAGATATCATCCTCTCTCTATGACTCTTGCTATCCAATCTATCAGCAATAATTCTCATAACTAAATATTAATTTCTATCAGATAAACCATTATAAATTATCATCTCTTAATTAAAAATATTAACACTCAAATATGGCAACATAGAGAAGCATGTATGTATTAGCTAAATTGGTCTACGACAGGTATGCTGTGTCTATTCACATTACATAAAGTGTATCTAAGAGGTGTTCAGGGGCACTAAAGTAGGTGAACAAGATGTGTTCTCCTCCACTGAACCCTTTGCTCTCCAACCCCAACAAATTCAAAGGTTGCCTATTTTCTATCCTTTTTGATTCCTTAACTATTCATAAGAGTTGTGTCAAGAGTCATGAAAAATGAATATGTGGTTTACTTTTTAATCTCACTTAATTATACTAATCACATTATTCATAAAAATAAAGCAATATAAGCATTCCTTACTAGCTTGTCTTAAGTAATAACATAGAAGATAGAGTCAGAGATAATAAGTTAAACAAATCACACCCTCCCAATGCAGAATATATACAAAGCTCACTCCATCTTTTATGAGATGTCTTCAAAAAGTTCGTGGAAAATCATATTATAAAAATATTATGGATTCTCAATATATTTGCACAAAAATAAACTTATACTTCAATTTCATTTTTTGATTAACTTTTTGAAGCTTCTTGTTTATTAGAATCACTGCTAAGGCTACATCAGGCAGTTGTTTAAGGCTCTTTTGTGACATGCAAAAATGAAAGGAAAACCCTAGGGAGTCTGAATTAAAACAGACGGATTGTAACAGATAATTGTTGTGAATAAGGGGAGAAACAAATTCCTCCAAGTATAAATATTTACTGAGCACTCACCTTATAGAGAGCTCAGGTATACACAGACTATGCAGAAGCCAGAGAAAAAGGGAAAAAAATACATTCAGATTGCTTTTAACAGTTTTTTATAGCTATTAGGAAAAAAAGAATTTGTATTTGAACTATATTCAATTATTCATTAACATTCTTACCTTCTATTTAAGGCTATTTTTATCATCCTGAGAAGTTACTTGTCAAAATCTGCAAAGATAATCATGGCTAGGTCCTATGGTAAAATCTCTCAAAACTCTACTTCTCTTCTACACTGTCTCTCCTCCACTTCAGCAACTCTAATTACATGCATGATAAACATCTCTCTTTTACATCTCTTATATTCTTTTCTCTGTTTCCACCCTGTTTTCTGTGCTTCAGTCTGGATGTTTTATATCACCCTATCTTCCAGGACAAGTATTGTCTATATCTTATTTATAGTAAACCTATGTATGTATTATGTTCTTAGTTTCAGCTACTGTATTTTTAAGTTTTAGAATTCTATTTGAGTTTTTTACATCGATTCCAATTCTCCCCCTAAAATAGTTCATCTTATCACTCAATTTATTGAATATACATGTTAGCCAGTCATTTTAAAGTCTAAATCTGATAATTCAATTATATGAGTATCTTCTGGGACTACTTCTGCTATCTGTTTTTTCTCTTAGTTTCTAGCTATTTCAACATGTCTCCTGATATGATTGGTAGTTTTTGATTACACACAGAAAATATAAGCAATATATTTGGGAGATGATGTGAAGGTGTGAATCACATTATCTTATACCAGAGAAAAATAGTAAGAGCAGGATCAGACTACTTTCAGGCTATAGTACCTGAAATGCATGGGTGGTATTGAGAAACGAGAAGATGGTATATGTAATCAATAACATCTCAGAATTCTCTAGTGCTTGTTCAAAGGTTAGATTTCGGTCTTTCTGAACTGAAATTTCTTGAGGTGAAAAAAAGAGTATATGTGTTTTTAACAAGGTTTAATAACTGCACTCCGAGGTCTGAAAACAACTCTAGCAGATTGTATACTCCTCAGGAACAAGGATCTTGTTTGTTTAGCACACTGTATACACTTAGTGCTCCCTATAGCATCTGACACATAGCAGACCCTGAATAAATGTTATATAACTTAAAGATATGATGAATGGATAAATAAATGGACCAATAAACAAACAATTGAATAAAAAAAACTAGTGTGTTAAAATTTTGGCAAGATCACTGGAATTTACATTCTAATGGACAGAGGGGCAGACAATATATATGTAAACAGGTAAACAAGATAATTTAGAAAATCTGCTTTAGCTAGCAAAGTCAGGGATAGCTTCTCTGAGGAAGTTACATTTCAACTGTCACTTAAATTATAAGATTATCCTGTGACAATCTTAGTAAATAAAAAACATTCAGGCAAAGGAGAAAAAGTGTATTTAAGTAATAAAGAGGCATGTGTGGATCAGTGAATGAGGAAGAGTGGGTAGAAAATGAGCCTGAAAAGATTACTAAGATGCTGATCATATAGGGATTCTCATATGTTGTGATCTCAGAAGAGTTTGGATATCATTCTAAGTGCAGTAAGAACCCATTTAAATTTTAAACAAAGTAGTAATCTAATATAATTCACACTTTAAAAAATTTATTTTGGCAACTGTATGGAAAACAGAGTACAGCAGGTCAATGGTGAAAGTAAACAGACCAATTAGGGGTTGATATAGTATTTCAGAAGAGAGGTGGTTATGGTCAGATGGTAACAGTAGGGATGGTAAGAAGTGCTTGGATTTACAATGTATTCTGGAGAAGAAGCATGCAATATCACACTCATGAGTTAGATATAGGAGATGAGGGAAAAAGTAGTCTAAAAAATTTTAGATTTTAGCCTGTAGGCAATGGAGACTCATTTAAAGTTTTAAGTGAGTGACACGATTATAGTAGAATATATTAGAATAATTATTTTGAGGCAGAAAGTAAAATGAATTCTTTGGGAAATAAAATAGAAGGTAGAGGCAAATTTGAAAGTGTCCGTAATACTCTGGGCTTGAAGTGACAGGCACCTGAATTAAAGTGAAGACAAAGGGCATGACAAAAAGTGAAGGCCATAAAGACCACAATAGTGTAGAAATTTAACTTGCAGTGCCTTTGGGCACTGAAATTCAGCAGAGAAATCTAGGTTAGAAAGATGTGAGAGTCATCAGAATAGACTTTAATAGATTAAAGTCGTGTGAATGATTAAGATGCCCTGGAAAAAGTTTGTAGAGGGAAAATGGAGCCTAGACCAGAAAAAGGCAAAAGATTCTAGCAGTGTCCAGAACAAAGGGTGACAAAACTAGAAAATGTGGCATCATCAATGCAAATAAAAATATTTCAAGAAGGAGTATTTTTAACTGGCAACTAAGGACTAAGAATTGTCTACTGGGCTTGTTAAAATGAATACTGTGGGTAATCTTCCAGTAGCTGCATCCTGTTAGAGGTGGACATAGAAGCCAGACTCTAGGCACATAAGGTATCCTGAGACATGTAGTTCTGTCAACAAAAATAACACTTCTTTTTTTTTCCTTTCAATTTTTTTTGGTTTTGAAGCAAAGGAGAGAGAGATGACTAGCCAGAGAAAGCACTCAACAGAGGGAATCTTTATGATGCGAGAGTATGTAGTATGTTTCAATGTGGAAGTGAAGGTGACAACTGAGAGAGGATGAAGACCTTGGAAGGGATGGATTGAATATAAGTTCTCTGAAAAATATGAATGAAATCCAAGGTCAGGTAGGGGCGTAGTCCTGTATGAAAGGAATGACACTCCTCCTAGTTACAGAAAGCAAAAACAGGAGTAGACACAAAGTAGTAGGAGTAGGGCTAAGAGGCAGAGGGATTTCCAGTATGACGGCTTCTATTTTCTTTCTGTGAAGAAGAAAAACAGAAGGAAGAGGTAAAGGAATTTGAATTTTGAGAAAAGTGAATAAGGAATGAAATAGCCATTTTGGAGAATAGTAAAAAATATTTCTAGGAAACCGTTAAGATCACTAAACCACATTGAAGGACTCCATGAAGCTAAACAAAATTTCTACATTCTTGTGTTTAAATATCCTCTGATAATACTCAGGTTAACTCAAAACCAACATTTTATGACTCCCTAAAACCTTACTTGCCTTTCTACAAAGACTCTCTTGAGGCTTAAAACCTGAACCATAACTTCATATTTTAGAGGTAGCTCTTTTGCCAATATTATTAACAATACATAGAGACAAGGTCAATGAATTAAGAGCATGGGACAGGAAAACATTGATGCATTAGAGGACTCAATTCTTTCATAGAAGTAGGGTGATTTTCCTTTTTCCATCATGATGAAGAAAAAAAAAATCCATATAATGTAGTAATTACACTATTGTAGTTGATAAAACATTACAATACCAAACCTAACACTGGTTCCAAAACTTTAATAAAATATAGTAGAGTTAACAGAAAAGAGTAAATAAAAATAACTGAATTTTTCTTTAATGTTTAGGACATATTTTGGATTTGAGAATGATGAAAGCTTAAACAAAGTAACTTGAACCTTTGGGATAATTCCTTTACTGTTTTGAAAGTTAAGTTTTCTTGTTGGTAAAGGAAAAGAAGTCATATTACATAAACTCTAAAGTAAGTTTCTATTTTGGTTCCTAATGGCAAGGCATCTGACCATAGAGGCTATTAGATACTTGAAATACAGTGTTTTTAAATAGCATACAAGGTCCATTTAAGTAAAGAGAAAATTTCCAACAAGGCAATTTCCAATAACTTACTCTTATATTTGAAATAAGAAGCCAATAACAAGTTTTATAATTTTAAATGTATTTTCATAAGAATATATTGGAAATGAATCTAATTTTTTCTAAAATAAAATTACTTTATAATCATTATATCATGGCAGTACTTTTTTTTTTCTCCTTTAGATGCCTATATTTTGAGAACCAGTATAAATTCTTACCTCTAAAAGATAAGGTTCCATTTGATCTAGGGTTTTTCCAAGATGCTTATCTGGATCTAAACCTGTCAAGAAAGATTAAATATATTTTTAGATAACTATCAGATTGGAACTCTAAAGACACATTCCCTTTTGGCTCCTTGTCACCTAGGAAACCAGTGTGTGTACATATTTTAAATTACTCTGATCCTAAAGTAAAATGTATTTTTCTTTTATTTTCTTATTCTCCTTGGTTTCTTTTTGTTCCTGAAAATAAATTTCAATTTATTTCTATTGTACTATGTCAACTACCAAATACACTGCTTCAAGTCCTTTCTTATTTTTGAAGAATTGCAATGAGGATAGAAAAAAGTATGATTTCAAAGACATGAAATTAAAATCTTTGGTATTTTAATAATTATGATTTGTTTTACTCATGGGCAACAGCATGGATTTTCTGACTCATTCTTATGTTGCTAAATTTCTTTTATTTTCTATTCTTATTCTTAGAGAGTAAAAGTAGAAACAGAAGAGCAGTTGACTTTTATGCCTATGGACTTAATTTGCTTGATAGCATATGGGCACAAATAATTGTATAACTAAATTAACTGACATTTCATTTCAATAATCACTTGCACAAAAATGTGTTTTCTCAGCAAAAAAATAAACAATCTGAAAAATCATTATTGTGCCAATAGCATGTACATAACATCTAATAAAGATATCCATCTAATACAATAGTAGAGTTCAGGGGATGGGGCACAGGTGGACAACTGTGGGCAATAAGAATGCTTTCCATAGAGTAAGAGTAACTTGCTCCCCTCCCCCCATAAAAGTCATATACTACAAAAAGTTTATAAAATGAATAAAGTCATTTCAGATATATGGGATATATGTATTGGCTTAGCTTTCTTTAAATAAGTTATTTTTATTTACTATAACCATTAGCTTACTAATTATGCAAACTTATATTTTTTCCCCTATGGTGCATGCTGTCATGGGAGAGAGACAATGAGAAGAAAAGTAAGAAAATACCCTTGGAGCGGATGGTCATGCCACAAACACTTCTCCATTCTCCCAAGATTTTGGACATGCATGCACATGTGCCTGGCATGATTTTCAAGCCACCAGATCCAGGACTCAAACCATGGTTGAACAAATGTAAGTCCAGCACCTTAACCACTACACTGCCTCCTGGCCCTATACTTAAATATTTTCATTTGTTAGCTTATTTATACATTTAAGGAAGAAATTACACTAACTCTCTATAACCTGTCAGAGGGTAAAGGCATTGAGAATGCTTCCTAAACTCATTCTGTGAGTGTAGCATTACTCTAATAACAAGATAAAAGGCATTAAAAGAAAACTACAGATTACTATCTCACATAAATGCAGATGTAAAAAATCCTTAGCAAAATACTAGCAAATAGAATAAAAAAATGTACAGGATGAGTTATACATCGTGACCAAATGGGATATAGCCCAGGTTGCAAGGCTGGGTGAACACTGGAAAACTGATTGTTAACCTAAGACATCAACAGATTAAAATAGATATATCATATGATCATTATCAATGATGCAGTAAAAGCATTTCACAAAATCTCATACTTATAATAAAAAAAAACTCTGCATAAACTAAGAGTAGAGATCAACCTCTTCAAAGTGATAAAGAATAACTATAAAAACCTAAAGGTAGCGTCATACTTAAGAGTGAGAAATTAGACGCTTGCCCACTAAGATAAGAACAAGGCAAGGATGTTTTCTGTTATTCTCCATTTTCAACATCACAATGGAATTCCTAACTAATGCAAGAAAACAACAGAAAGAAATAAAATATTTAGATCAGGAAGGAAGGAATCCAAATATTTTTGTTTATAAATGAAATCATCATCTCTGAAAGAATTAACAAATGGGGACCAGCAGATGACGCAATGGTTATGTCGCTGGACTCCCTCATAGTCAACAGCGATTTTAATCCTGGACCAGCAGCTTATAACTCTCGCTGGGCTCATGTGCGTGTGTGCCCAAGATCCTGAGAGGAGAATGGAGGAGAAAGGATTGTGGCATGGCCATCTACCCTGGGGGTGGGGGGTGATTTCTCGCTTTCTGTCTCAACCCAATTGGGACTGCTATAATAAGTGATTATAGCATTAGTACAGAATACAAAGTTATTATTCAAAACTTAATTTCCTTCCTATATACCAGCAATAAACAAGTAGAATCTGAAATTAAAAACAGTGATGGGGCCAGCAGGTGACGTGGTGGTTAAGGTGTTGGAGTCCCACATGGCTGACCATGGCTCAAGTCCTGGACATGGTGGCTGCTTTCTCTTTCTCTCTCTCTCGTGTGCATACCCTGTAGCAAGGTAAAAAAATAACAATGATAAAAAGTATTAGATAAATTATTTTAAAAAAAGCCAATGCCATTTACACTAGTATCCCCAAAGTGAAACATTAAGGTATAAATATGCTTAAGATTGATATGAGGAAAACTGCAAAACTCTGGTGAGTGAAATTAAAGAAGTAAATAAACGGAATAGTCCATGTTCACAGAGAGGAAGACAATATTATTAAGATGTTGGTTCTTCACATTTTGATCTACAGAGTCATTGTAATCCTAATCAAAATATCAGCAAGTGATTTTGTGAATACTGAGAAACTAAATTGATTCTGAAGTTTATATAAAGAGACAAAAGACCCAGGATAGTCAACAATATCAAAGAGAATATCAATGTTAAGGGACTGACACTATCCAAATATAAGAATTACTATCATACTATACTATACTTAGTATAATATTATAATTAAGACAGTGTAGTATTAGCAAGAAAATAGGGGGCCAGTGGGTGCCATGATGGTTAAGGCACTAGATTCCGGCATGGCCAAAAGCTATTTGAGTCCTGGACCTGGCAGCTTGAAACTCATGCTGGGTGTGTGTGCATGCATGCCTAAAATCCATGGAGAATGAAAGAGAAGGGATTGTGGCGCCGCCATCCCCTTTAGGGGATGATTTCTTACTTTCCCTCTCACTGTCTTTCTCCTCTCTGACAAGTACATATGCCCTATGGCAATACCAAAAATAAATAAATAAACCAATAAAAGAAAATAGACAAATAGATCAATGGAGAATGATTAATAGAGAACCCAGAAATAAATTCACATATATGTTCAACTGATTTTTGACAAAGGAGCAATGGCAATATAATAAAGCAAAGACTTTTTTTTTTTGATAAATGATGCTAGAACACCTGGATACTCACATGCAACAAAATGGAACTAGACACAAATCGTATACTCCTCATGAATATTAACTCAAACTTTAGGAAGAGTTTAGGACAAAAGTGTCTAACAGACAAACAAATGCAGGCAGATGAGGCAAATGGGTTGAACAGCATACTACAATTGACTGAAAAGAACATATGTTATCAAGCTTATATGTATCTAAAAAAAGAAAAAAAAAAGAAAGGGAGAAAGGAAAGAAAGCAGTAGAGCAAAACTATTAATAAATAGTAGTGCAAAAATTAATGGTACACATCATAATGTGGTGTTCCTTGTTGAAAACAATGAATATGGTACTATCCTTGATTTGATTATTGTGCACTGCACACAAGCTTTGAAAATCCATATTCTACCCCCCATGAAGGTGTTCAGTAATTAAATGTAAATAAGAAATCATAAAATAGAAAAAAGTGATTTAGTACTGAACATTCTGGATCATAAATACCTGATAATAGCTCTGTGTCCTCCGCTGAACTTTAAGCCCGGCATCTAGTCCCCAGCATCCCTTAACAAATATCCACTCCATGCATAAAAAACTAAAAATTGCAAAGTGGATTATAGACACAAGTATACAATGAAAATTATAAATCTCCCATAAAATAATATAGCAGACAACCTAAATGATTTTGGATTTGATAATGACGTTTTAGATATAACACCAGCAGCATAATTCATGAGAGATATAATTGATAAGCTAGACTTCATTAAAATGAAAATTTTCTGTTTTTGTGAAAGATGATGTTAAGAGAGTGAGGTAAAAAACCACAGTCTGGAAGAAAATATTTATAAAATACATATGAAAAACGACTATTATCCAGAATATAAAAATTCTTCTTAAAACTTAACAGTAAGGGGGCAAGCCAGGTGACATGGTGGATAAGGTGGCTGGATCCCACATGGCCATATGCACAGTGCAAATCTCAGACCCAGAGACTTGAAAAACATGCCAGATATGTGTGCATGTATACCCAAAATCCTAGGAGGAGAGGGAGGAGAAGGGACTATGTGTGGCCAACACCCTCCAGGGTGTGCTTTCTCATGTTCTTTTTCTCTGTCTCTCTCTCTCTCTCTCTCTGGCGAGCATAGACAACTTATAGCAAATTAAAACAAACAAACAAAAAAACTCAACAATACAACAAAAAAACTTACTAAAAAATGGGCCAAATTCTTTAACAGACATTTCACCAAAAAAGATACACAGATGGTAAAAACAAGAGTATTTCATCAACATTTGTCATCAGAGGAATGCAAATCAAAACAATGAGATATCACTGTTATGGGCCTTACAGTAAACTATGAACTTTGAATGACTATGATGTGTAAATATAGGTTCATCAATTGCAATGAAAGTATCACTCTGTTGGGGGATGTTGGCATTGGGGAAGGCAATGCACGTGGGTGGCCAGGGAATACACAGGAAATGTCTGTAGATTCTTCTCAATTTTCCATGAACATAAAACTGCTCTAAAATATCACGTCTTAAAAAAATACTTGAAGTTCCTTCAAATGTAGAGCATTCAAATTTTACAGATGTTCCATTTGTGCTTAAATGTGTGCTCACTGTTGAAAGTGAGATTCTTTACCAAAACACACAAAATCATGATCACGCTTGTTAAATTTGCTGTTCAAATCTTCTGTGACTTTAAACCTGTCTTCTCTATGAACCATCAGTTTCTACTAAAAAGATTAAAAGAACTCCAATTATGATTTTGGCTTTAATAATTTTATTATAATCAAACAGTTTTGCTTTACTGCCAGATGCACAAAAATTTAAATTTCTGAAAACTTATCAATGAGATTTTTTTTTT